CTCCCTCAGTCGGCAGTAGTAGGCTAGCAGGGACTTGTCTTTTCCTCGGCGAAACTTGCGGAATTCCTCGACTCTTGCTTTAGTTTGCCCCATAAATTCCTTCTTCAGCAGCTCAACAAACTGCGCGGTCGGGTTTCCGATCTCTCCGCAAGCCAGCTCCTCGAGCACTTCGTCCCGCGTCATGCGATAGAAGGTCTCGGCCTCGCCTGCTAGCGTTACTACCATGCGCCGGAAGAATTCTGCTGGGTCCAATCCGTCCCGTTCCCAACAGTACTGCACGGTCTCCAACTGCATCAGATAGTTCTTCAGGGTGGGACCCACGCCGGGAATTCCGGTGAACCGCTCGGCTACCTCTAGCTTCGGAAGGGATCCTGTCTGCCATCTCTTATCGGTAGGTCGGTCAGGTGGGGCAGCGGTTGAGGGTAGCTCCGCAGCTCGACTCGCTATGATCTCCCTATGTGTCGGCGACCTGAACTCTCCCTCCGTCTGGCGCCGCAACCAAGTCGTTGGTGCCTGCGCTCGGCCGGATTCCATCCCCGGCATCCACCCAGGGGAGTTAGTAGTAGGGCGGCTCTCCCACCGTGCTCTCGCTTCTCGAGCTCAGCGCAAATCGTGAGGTGTCTCTCCTGGATCTGACGCAACAGTCCTCGAAGGCTCCATGTCCTCGCGCCGTCCCCGTTCCCGTTGGTGCGGGGTCCGGTACACCCCAGTAGTCGAAGCTGGCGAGCGCCTTGTTTCCAACGCTGACACTTGGTCCAAAGTGGTCGTCGCTGCAGCGCCCAAGCTTGGTTCCGCCGCAATATCTTCTCTTCGGTAGCTCTGCCCGGATCTTAGTTTAAACCTATCGCTCATCCTAGCTTGAGGCCCGCGATCGGTCGCAGCCCTTGCTTGTATGTTGTATGCTCCTAGCACATTAGACTCTATCTCTCTGGGTCTTCCTAGCTCGACTGACTGCCGAAGGCACTGAGTGGAAGCCCTCAAAAGGCTTGCTGGGATTGGCTCCTCTCCTTTGCACAGTACGAGTAGAGTTGTAGGTAGCTCTTAGCTGATAGAGGAAACATACAAGCAAGCAAATGGTACTTCTCGTGTTGCTTGCCTAAGTACGTGCACTTGGTTACCGTTGCACGGCTCGGTTGGTTTTGTTTCGTCAGTTCCCGCTCTGACGCTCTCGCCTCTGCCTAACACCGCTTAAATCCTACTCACTATAGTACCCTGTCATGCATTTATATTGTTATGTCCTACTCACTATTCTTCAATTAAATGTATGACAGGCCGAGGGAGGCGCAGGGGAAGGGGAGGTCGCATGGGTGACCTTGTGCGATCGGTGGCGAGGGAGAAGGCGAGATCTGGACCTTGGCGGGAAAGGCACGGCAGGACAGAGGAGCAAGTAGAACAACCAATGAATGGCAACGAGGAGGAGAGTGGCTCCGAATATAGCGCTGAGCAGGAAGCGGAAGCAGAGAATGTCTCTGTGGAAGCAGAAGATGGGGTACCCTTACCAGGAGGATCAAGGCGGGGAGGTGGACAGGGACGAGGGAGGGACACGGGGGGGATGGACGGGAATGGACAGGTGGGCGAATCCGAAGGCGAGCCGGCAAATGGGGCTGCAAGCAAAGAGCGGTCACCAGCTAAAATCATGGAAGATGGTGACGCGTGGAAGCGGGTAGAGGCTTGGGATCTAGGTCCCCTACGAGCCAGCTCCCAACCCTTCCTGGTCAGGAAGCTTCCGCCAGAAATTCTAAAATCGTTCAGTCACTGCCTCACCATACCACTCCTGCGACTGTCGAGGCAACCAGACTGCCTCGGGGCGTGGCGAATCCTGCTATTCCTACCCAGACTGACACTGAGGGCAACTCTCGAGAAAGTTCCAGGAAACAAATGGCAAGCGGTGGAGTCGAGGCTGAGACAATTCCGAGAGGAGGATTGGGATGCACTGTACCTGCAGGCCATCACCATCCCCGCAGATTCCAAACCCCACAGACACGAGCCTGACCCCGAAGGCATTTGTGCCAGGGCGGAAGGGCTGGTTCGCAAGGCCAACTTGGCGAAAGCGACAGTGGCCCTACACGTAACACCACTAGCACAGCCATCCCAGACAACTCTCGAGGCCCTCCGCGCGAAACACCCTGGAGCAACACAGGCGATACCGGAGGGAGTTGATGGTTACACATCCAGTGGGCTCGACATCAGTGCAGACAAGTTTCGCGAACTGCTAGCAAAATGCCCCAACGGCATCGGTGCAGGCCCATCAGGCACCTGTTTCGAACACCTTCGCGACCCTGCCTTAACCAACGCGGAAGTGTTTGACCTGCTGCACAAGATCGTGAACCACCTGCTAAGCAGCTACCAGAACGAGCAGATACAGGAATTACTCCTCCAATCTAGACTGATCGCCCTGAGCAAACCGGACGGAGGAGTTCGACCGATAGCAATAGGGGAAGCACTACTGCGACTAACAGCCAAAGCGGCACTCAAGGAACTAGGGGAGGAGATTCGCAGCTACTTCATGCCCGTTCAGTTCGGTGTGTCAGTCCCAGGGGGTGCGGAATGCATAATACACACGACTAGAGCGCTACTGGCCGAAGATCCCACGCTTATAGCCCTCCAGCTGGACATAGAGAATGCGTTCAACTCTGTTGAACGCGGGAGCTTCCTAGGGTCGATTAGATGGACCAGGCTAATATCTCTCCTCCCGCTCGTGCGCACGCTATATGGCTCACCATCGAAGCTCCTTCTGGACAGTGGTTTCGGGGTCCCATCAATTGACAGGACGCGCGGAGTCCGCCAGGGAGACCCGCTCGGCCCAATGTTGTTTGCGATGGCAATCCAACCGGCACTTCTGACAGCGGCAGAAGCAGTCCCATCGGTAACAATAATGGCCTACGCCGACGACATCACAATCGTGGGGGAGGCGGGAGGGGCGATTAAGGCGCTCGACATGATCTGTGGGGAGCTCCATTGTGACGGCCTGAGATGCAACCTCACCAAATCATCTGCGTGGAGCCCTCGAGGAGCTCGGATACCTTGCCAGAGGTTAGGGAGCCCAGTGGGCACGATGGCGTTCTGCAGGCGGTTTATTAGAGGCGCGCTAGGAACCATGTCTGCACCCCTCGGCCTCATTGGCCGCCTTCACCCTCAACACGCTATGCTGCTACTATCACGGTGCATCTCCCGCCGGGCGTCCTATCTCCTGCGTACCACACCTGCAGACGCGCTACCACTCGGAGAATGGAGAGAGTGGAGTGAGCGGCTACTTTGGACAGCCCTCAAGGCGGCCCACCTACACACAACAACAAAGGAGCGAACAAAGGGGCAGCAGTGGGCAGCAGAACTACGCTACAGGACATGCGGAACAGGCTCCCAGAGGCGGCACAGGAGCTGCTTAGGGGTTTCAGCCAGGAAAAGGGGGGGAAGGGGCAACTTCAGGAGCTCCTTTCCAAGCATATCAATCAGGACCGGGCAGCGGAACTATTGGGCGATACTCGGGTGGATAAACCGGGGGAGGATAATGGCCATGTAATCCGCTTGATCAGCCTGCAGGGAGTAGGGGCAGGGGATTGGCTACACGCCATCCCTACCAGTGGGGACCTGACGTTTTCGCCGGGCCAATATGCAATAGCCCTGGGTTTTCGCTTGGGGCTGACCCTGCCAGTGACAGACACGTGCCCGTGCCACGGTGAACGATCACAGATACATGACCGGAGCCTCCCCAACCACCTGCTGAGGTGCGCGGAAGGAAAAGACAGGACAAACACGCACAATTCCCTGGTGTATGCGGCACTGCGAATGGCACGCGAAGCGGATTACATGACTTTGCATGAGACCACTGTCTACTCGCAACCCGTCAACCCTAAGCGAGCAGACCTGGCTATCAAAGACCGTGAGTCACAGATGTCACGGTCACTGATCCGGTGCTGCAGCGGCGTGATTTAGGGGCCACCAGGGGACCGGGCTGGGCGGCAGAGGAGGCAGCAAGGACAAAAAGGGGGCTGTACGAGGGGCGACCGGACTTCGTAGGGGTATTCGGGCTGGCGGTGGAAACGTATGGGGCCTTAGCGCAGGACACCCAGAGGTTTCTTCGTCTCCTTGGCACGCAGGCGGCAAAGAAAAAGCACAGGCAGGGGAGGCTCACCTCGGTAGCCTCCAAGCTGAATGCGGATTACTGACAACGCTGGTCGGTGATGCTGCAGCGCAGCCAGGCGAACGCCCTGCTGGCCAAGTCCAACAGGGCGACGGAGAGGGCCTTCCCCCAGGCCCCAGCAGACCCGTGGGAACCCAGCCTCGGGGACCTCTGGCAGGTCCTTGAGGATGGGCTGGACTGGGGGCCGGCCCTGGATGGGTGAGGGGAGAAGGAGGGGCTGGAGCGAGAGGAGGCTCCAGGCCGCGGTAAAGGGGTTCGGGGCACTGGGTAGGCCCCTCGGTTGTGCTGGCCAGCCATTGGGCAGGCAGACCTTACAGGAGGGTGCTGGCTTGGCCTGATCACAGTTGGGGTCGCATGGTTGCAGGCTAGCCGGCCAAATACCTAGACTGTTTGCTTAATAGCAAGATAATATCTCTTGCATGCCTAGGTTTTGCTTGCTAAAAACTTGCACATGCCTTGCTTGTACCCTGTATACACATTAATGAAGGACCGCTTGAGAGAGAGAGAGAGAGAGAGAGAGAGAGAGAGAGAGAGAGAGAGAGAGAGAGAGAGAGAGAGAGAGAGAGAGAGAGAGAGAGAGAAGCAAGGACTTAGCCTCTTCCCTCCTAGCCTCTTCCCCTCTCTTCCCCAGCTATATAATGGCCTCCTGGCCTCTGGTTTAGCTCATTCTTCATTCGGTGTTCCAATTTTTCCGGCGCTTCGCGCCGGCGCTCGCGGGCGCGGCCTGCGGCCGCGCGTTCGGGACGACAAGATCAACAAGGATGACATATAGCAAGATGACAACACCGACGAACATGGCAGGCAACGACAACTAGGAGAGCAAACATGGAGCGGGTCTACTCACGCGCGAGAGGGGCGCCTACATGCGGTCGGCCTCAAGCTCACCAAGCGTTTCGCGCGTGGTCAACCACATCAGGCGGACCACTGACGCGGTGGCGCCGACAACGTCAACAGGAGTTCCGCGAGATCCAACAAGCGTCTTCAGATCCAGGGCCTTCTCGGCCAGCTGGGTGGCCGAGACTACTCCCGGCGAGGGCGCAACCTGCAGTGGCGATACGTACGAGAATAGCGCTGACGCCGCCGCATGACACCGTGCTCGTGGCATCTGAGAGAATGTGCTCGGTGGGGTCACCGCCATGGAGCCATGGGACTCCAGGAGTATCAGCTCAAGGCTCTGCAGGCTCTCCGCCAGCGACCACAAGCGCGCCAGGGTCACCGTGGGCACTTCCTTCATCGGCGGAAGGACAGCAGCGGCGCGCGTTCGGCGGGACGACACAGCGAGATCACGTGGAGGGGAGCGAGGACGCAGGGGTGCATACGCGGCCCAGGGATCCCCACCACCTGCGCCCACGAAGCCAGCCCCTGCTGGCAGCGGACGACCAGGACGCGCAAGGGAGCCCTCAGGGTTGTGCGGCAGGAGGGCAGCAAGAGGAACGACGGGGCCAGCCGGCGGCACGGAATGGGATGACGCCTCCGCGTTCGAGCGGTGGAGCGCTTTCTCCACGCCGTCCAACCTTCGGAGAACGCGCTCAAGCTCGGACGGCGCTTGACGCGCAGTTCCGCCGCGTCCATACCCTCCCCGCTGCCCACGACGCCCACGTCCACTTGCATTCGAGTGAGCGGGCGACTGCTGGCGAGATGGGACGCGTTGGCGCTGGCGAACAGGGGATCGGCCCCCGTGACGAGGAGAGTAGAGCCGCTGGCGCTTTGACGGCCGCGGCGAACGCGCAGATGGGGACCGCGGGCGAGACACGTGCGGAGCAGGCGATCGATAGTGTGTGGCTTGGCGACCGGGCGAACGGTGACGACGCGACCGCCGGTCCGGAGATCGGCTCCTGGATGCCGCGCGGCGCGGTGAACGTGGTGAGTGCGGTGATCGCGGCTTCCGAGGCGACCGAGGCTCGGCGTGACGCTCCGCACGGTGGCTCTCCTGCCCGTCACCACGCGCCACTGTCGAGGCGACGAGGCGAACGTTCCCGGCGCGCCGCAGCCTCTGCGTCGGAGCGCACGACGGACTCCGCACGCGCAGGCGCCGGCGCGGGCCGCTGATCTTCGAAACGGCGACGAATCTGATCAGCGGCAGCCATCGGAGCGACAGGGACGCTCGCGGCAGGACGTGCAGGAGGAAGCGGACGGGGAGCGAGATCGCTCACCGCGGAACACCCGCGCTCAGGAGCAGCCAGGAGATCCATCGGAGCAGAGGGATGATAGCGCTCGCCCAACGGGCGGCCGACGCGGCGGAGGTAGAGCTGCAGGCCGGGGAGGGCGAGCAGCTGGGCGTGGCGTGAGGGCTCGAGGAGGCGGTCCGGAGAACGTGTACCAGCAGGCGGGACGGAGGGCTTTAACTGAGATGAGCAACGATAATAATTCAACCACTTCAGACGGCAGCTTTGTAGCTGCAGAATCTACGGACTCGACCTCTAGCTCTGAGTCACTGGAAGACGAGCAGCAACAGACCCCTGCTCGAGCGAGCAGGCCAGCCGCAACTCACCTGCCGGGGGGAAACTCAGCAGTGAGATCCAACAGGAGGGGTCCCCCAACACCAACCCGTGCCGCATCGGGAAATTTCGCCACTCCACCAATCCCAACCCCGATTTCCAACATTCAGACCCCTACCCACACCGCCCCCCAACCTGCACCTGGCGGTAACCACGTCCCAACCCAACCCTTAGAGGAAAAATCCCCAGAAACTCTCGCCAAGGACGACACGCTATTCGCCAGCGTTGTAGCCTGGGATCTCACGAAACTACGCGACTCTCGCCACGCACCCCTTTCCCGCCACCTCCCTCCAGACCCACGCAAGCTTTTCGCCACAGCCTTGTTGGCGCCGCTGCTGCGCTTGGCGAAATATCCAGACTCTACCTCTGCTTGGACGGTCGTTCTATTCCTGGCGCGCTTAACACTTCGCCAGCTGTCCCCACGACGTCCAGATTGGAAGGCTGTCAGTGCCCGCCTTCGTCAGTTTCTGTCCGGGGAGTGGGATAAGCTATACAATGAGACAGTGGGCTCACTGACGTGGCCCCAACCACCTAGACACCAGCCCGATGACATTGGTGTCATCGCTAGGGCAGAGGGGTTGGCACGACGTGGCAGCCTACGACGAGCCGTGATGGCACTAGAAGCCACGCCAGTCAGCATTCCCTCCCCAACTGTGCTGGAGGCCCTGCGCGCCAAACACCCACCAGCGCCCGCCTCCCCACCTGACTGGACTTTTCCAGCACCTGACCCCCACCTATCAGCACCATTTGCAGTCTTCTCCAAGGTGCTGGGAAGCTGCGAGATGGGGGTAGGAGCGGGCCCCTCTGGAACCACGTTTGAACACTTACGCGATGCAGCGCTGATCAACCACTCCGTTGGGAAGCACCTTCACGCACTAGTCAACACGATTCTCACGGGAAACCTACCTCCTGCAGTGGCCGAGCTCCTCACCGCCTCGAGATTAATTGCCCTGAGCAAGCCCGATGGGGGGACGCGGCCGATCGCCATCGGCGAAAGCATAACGCGCCTCGCGGCCAAGACGGCGCTTACCTTGACCGCAGGGGCCGCCCGTGAGTTCTTCCTACCGCACCAGTTCGGCGTGGCTGTCCCCGGTGGGGCGGAAGCGATTATCCACATCACACGCACTTACCTCACGGTGAACACAGGAGCTTTGGTCCTGCAGGCTGATCTGGCGAACGCATTTAACAGCGTCAACCGCGACGCCATCATCAAATCTCTTCGGGACTCCACCCTCGCCTCGCTCTTACCGTTAGTTAAACTGCTGTACGGCCTTCCCTCGGCTCTATGTCTGGATGCTGGCTTCTCACACCCACCTCTGCTGAGCGAGACCGGGGTGCGACAGGGAGATCCCCTCGGCCCGTTGTTGTTCGCTGCCGCCATACACCCTGCACTGACGAAAACAGCGCTCACCTTCCCCTCTGTCGTCTGTCTTGCCTATGCGGACGACGTAACTTTCCTTGGAGATGCAGCCACGTGTGCAGCAGCGTTTGAGGACTTCACAGGAAACCTTGGGGAGATTGGGCTGCGCCACAACCCCGCCAAATGCGCAGCCTGGTCCCAGGCAGGCCGACAGGGAGCTGCGCTACCAGTGGGCGTACCTTTCACTGAAGATGGGGTGAAGGTGCTTGGCAGTTTCATCGGTGGCAGTGACGCAACTGCCGCGTTCCTACGTGCCAGCCTCGACACCATGGGCGGGCCGTTGCCCTTAATAGCGCGGATGGAGCCACAGCTGGCTTCCCTTCTGCTTTCTCGGTGCATCTCACGAAGGATCGCTTACGTCGCCCGCACCACGCCGCTTTCAGCCCTGCCAGTCGAGGAGTGGTCAGACTGGGGTAAAAGGCTGTTTGAGACACTGCTCGATGCCTGCGGCATTCGCCACCCACGGGGGGAGGCCGAGATTTCACGTACCTGGGCGCAAGCGTCACTCCCCATCTCGCTCGGCGGTTTAGGTCTCACAGACCCCTCGGTGGAGGGACGTGTTGGGTTTCTCGCAAGCTACACGCAAGCGCAGCACCTGCTCACCTCCATTGATGAGTCGGCGGTCGGCGCCCTGGCGGAAACGCGGATCCAGATGGTGGGGCCCTTCATCAACACGTCCCCGCTCTTTGACTGGCTGGAGAGGTGTGAGGAGTCACTGCCGGATGATGGGAAGGAGCTGCTGCAGAGCGACCGAGTTGATCCCAAGGGCGTCAAGCTGCAGCACGGGCTGGCAATCGCGGTCCACGGACTGCGCTACGCGGAGCAGGTGCAGGCTACACGCATCATGCCTCTCAACCCAATGAGCGGGCACACTCAGCGCATGCTCTCACTCTCAGGGTATGGGGCAGGAGACTGGCTCAATGCAGTCCCCTTCAACTCGACACTACGGCTTGCCCCTGCTCACTTTGCGCATGCGCTGCAATTCCGGATGGGGCTACCCTCCTCAGCTCCAGGCGCGTGTGACTGCCGCAAGGAGACAGCGATCCCAGACAGGCGGCTGCCCAACCACCTGCTGCGCTGTGACACAGGGAAGGGGCGGACCAACACGCACAATGAACTGCGCGATGCGTGTCTGCACATGGCCGCCGACGCTGATTTCATGACTCACAGTGAGACGACCACGTTCTGCCCCGTCACCCTTAAGAAAGCAGACATAGCGATCCGGGACAAGTCCTCAGGGGCGGTGTGGATAGGGGACGTGACCATCACGGACCCCATTAGCACACGGGATCCCAACGCGGTTAAGGGCAGGGGGTGGGCGGCCAGAGAGGCGGCAGAGAAAAAGATCTCCGACTACGAGGGCTCAACGGCCTCGTGGGTCGGATTCTTCCCTCTCGCCGTTGATACCTACGGCTGCCCCTGCGCGGAGGTCCCTCAATTCCTCAAACTTCTGGCCGACACCGGCGCGCGCAGGCTCTTCAACGCTGCCCCCTCATCTTACCAAGCAACAAAGCTGCTGCATCAGTTCCGCCAGCGGTGGTCCGTGGCGCTGCAGCGGGCGCAGTCGGTGAGCTTCATGACGAAGTGCAACTATGCGGCTCAGGTAGAGAACCCACCTGTGGCGCTGCCGGGCGAAGGCATGTCCCTCGGGGACTGCCTTGCCATCCTGGAGCCTGCACTGGAGCTGCCTTAGAGGGTGAACGAGAGTAGGTAGGATATGGGGGTTATAGAGGCTGAGGTGCATTGCTCCTTATAACCTTGTGCATGTCTGTACCGTGCTCGGATCTAATACACGGACCACTTGAGAGAGAGAGAGAGAGAGAGAGAGAGAGAGAGAGAGAGAGAGAGAGAGAGAGAGAGAGAGAGAGAGAGAGAGAGAGAGAAGAAGGAGCAGAAATACGTGCGCCGGAATGCGTGGGTGGGCTTTCATGCCCTAGCGGTAGAGACATATGGGTACCCCTCGCCCGGGATGTTGGCATTCTTGCGGCAGTGCGCGGAGCTGGCGGCCAAGTTGCGATTCAACGCAGCCCCCAACTCCTACGAGGCCGCCAAGCTGCTGACGGAATACCGCCAGCACTGGAGCGTGTGCCTCCAAAAAGCACAAGCCAACGCCCTCCGCTGCAAGACCAACGAGGCGATAGCAGCGGACGAGCTCGGCATGCGGGGCCCCTTTGCCCCCCTTAGCGAAGGCCAGCTCTACCAGCTAATAGAGCCCCCGTTCGACCTTTAGGGTCGGACGGAGGGGGCGGGAGGGAGTAAGGGAATGAGGTAGTTAGGTAGACCGAGTGTTATGTCTGGGTTTGCATGTGTTTGCATCTTCCCATGTATCTCCCATCAATCAATACGAGGACCATTCGAGAGATGACCGGAAGAAGGCCGATGTGATCGTGCATGACCCAGACAGTGGAGAGACCTGGATCACAGACACGACTATCACCGACCCTGTGCTGCAGAACCGGGACCCCACAGCCCGCAAACCCTCAGGCTGGGCTGCATGGGAGGCTCAGAAGCGGAAAGAAAGGGATTACTACCGGCACACAGAGCACGTGGTGTTCTGCGCCCTGGCCGTCAAGACCTATGGGGCAAACGCGCCCCCCACGACGGCGTTCCTGAAGCTGCTGGCCACAGCAGCAGCTAGGAACCGGTTCAGGGCCAACCTCCTGGCGAAATCGGCCAAGAAGATGGCCTGCCACTTCAGCCAGCGCTGGTCAGTGGCCCTCCAGTGCTCCCAGGCGAATGCCCTGCACACCAAGGCCAGGGCGGGGATTGAGGCAGCGCACCCCCAGATGGCATCGGACCCATGGCCGCTGCACCTAGGGGACATCCTCCACACGCTGGAGGGTTAGAGGGGCACTAAGGGGGGGGGTGGGGGGGGGGGGGGGAAGGGTCAGAGGGATGGGTTGATGGGTCGGAAGGTATAAGGGAACCACGAGTCAAATTGCATGTCTGTACCCCCTGCTGAATTAATACAAAGGACCATTTGAGAGAGAGAGCAGATACCAAGCGGCAGCACGGGTAGCTTTAAATAATCTGGAAGCAGCTAATGAAGAGGACGAGCTGCGGGACCCCACTTATAGGGAAGAGCCCACACCTGATAGCGAGAACGATGAGGCAGAGGAGGAGGAAGGCGGGGCGAGGGAAGGCTCAGGGAGAAGGGAAGCAGCGGGGAGGCGAACTCGCGATCACACGCCCCAGGAGGCACACCTACCGACCGATGCCGATCGGACGGTGGAATTTCCAACCTCCGCCTCTCCTGCGCGATCGGGCCGTGTTCGTCGAAATCGGACCGCGATTTTAGGTGTTGCAACACGCCCAACCGCCCCGACCCCCCGCTATTTTTATCTGACGAATTAGCGAAGCGAACAGACTTGTTCGCTGCCATCGGGAATTGGGACATCAAGGCTCTATGCGACAGTCGTCAGCCTTCGCTGTCAAGGCGATTACCGCCAAATTTGTGTCAGCTGTTCTCGCTGGCGTTACTGACACCGTTACTACACCTCTCGCGAAACCCCGAGTCAGAGACAGGTTGGCGTCTGCTGTTGTTTCTCCCGCGCCTGACTCTCCGCCAAACCTCGCCACAACGACCGGACTGGCCGAAAATCAAAGCCCGGCTCCGAGCCTTCCAGCGTGGCGAATGGGAGCAATTGTACCTGGATGCGGTGGACGCAGTCAACATGCCACCACCGCCACGACACCAGCCAGATGCGACTGGGGTGATCAACCGAGCTGAGGGTCTGGCGAAACGTGGCAGCCTGCGACGAGCCGTCCTCGCCCTGGAGTCAACGCCCGTCTGCACTCCCAGCCCCGAAATCCTGGAAGAGCTGCGCCAAAAACACCCCCCCGCTGTATACGAGGAGGTGCCTTGGCCCACGGCACAGGAGTCAACACTTTCAATCGCCCACGTGGACTTTGCCAAAATGTTGGGCAGATGCGAGAATGGAGTTGGAGTCGGGCCTTCGGGGATGACCTTTGAGCATCTGCGCGACGCGGCCATCACCAACGCACTGGTCAGCACCTCCTGACTAGGCCCGTTACTGGATTTCCTGGATGTCAATTTCAACACCGACCCACTGCGAAGTGAACGCGGAGTCCACCAGGGAGACCCACTAGGCCCGTTACTGTTCGCGGCAGGGATACATGCCACACTTCGTGAAACCGCAGACGCTCACCCCGACGTGCTCTGTTTGGGTATGCGGACGACGTGACTTTTCTGGGTGACGTGGGGCACACTGTAGCAGCCTTCACTCACTTCACGACCAAGTTGGCACACTTGGGCCTCGAGCACAATCCTCAGAAATGTGCTGCGTGGAGTTCGAGTGCGCCAGAGACAGCCACCCTCCTTCCAGGAATTCCATTCTCAAACGACGGCATACGGCTTCTAGGAAGTTTCGTCGGGCCTGATAGCGGCGCCTCTACATTCCTAGCAAAGCAGCTCGAAGAGATGGCAAAACCACTATCACTTCTGGAACGCCTCTACAGTCCTTAGCCCCTCTTAGCCTCTCACCCCTAGTATATAAGTCCAGGGAGCTCCTGCTCCTCTCATTGTTTTCTGTGGAGTTCATTTCACTCTCAGAATCCAGCGGCTCGCGAAGAGAGAGAGCGAGAGAGAGAGAGAGAGAGGGATGGCATAGTCCTTCCTTAGCCATTTCTAGGCCTTCCTTCTCTAGGGACCAGTCCTTAGCCCCTCTTAGCCTCTCACCCCTAGTATATAAGTCCAGGGAGCTCCTGCTCCTCTCATTGTTTTCTGTGGAGTTCATTTCACTCTCAGAATCCAGCGGCCTTCGGCCGCGCGTTTGGGGAGGCAAGTACCACTGGCGGGACAGGTTCACTAAATCAAGCAAGGCATCATGCAACTGTAGACAGCGGACACACCATCAACACCCCCAAGTGAGGGGCTGCCTCCATGGGGAAGCCAAAGGCCCGGGGAGGAGTAAATAAGGCGGGCACGGGGAAAGGGACGGCTACTCGGCAAGGATCCAAGAAAGCCGCCCGTCCATCCAGCGTAACACGGATGCGGCAGCTGGTACAATGTCGAGTGGTGCCTGCAAAGCGGCAAGCACGAGCCGCCTCAGCGCTGCGGGACCAGGCCCCAAAGCAGACCCGGGAGAGCCGGGCACAAACCCGATCTCGGGCAGCATCTGCAAAATCTGCACCGCCGACGCCACAGCCACCGTCTGTTCCTGCCCTGACAGCATCGGGGGAAGAGCCCCAGGACGACGCGTCCGGCGCTGATAAGCGCCAAGTTGGTCCAGCACATCCATCCGCAACCAGTGTCAGGCACGTCCCCACGTTCGACACGCGCTGCTCGACGCGGAGAGCCCTTTCGGCAGGAGGGGACTCGTCCCATAAGCTCCAGCGGTGCTGGGGGGTGCCAGGGGGGGGAGCCTCCAGTGCATCCGGCGGTAGCGACTCCCACGGGTAGGCCCCGTGCTGCGGAATGCCCGACGTTGCAACCCCACCGTGCGACTGAGACGAGACAAGATCTGGGTCGGCAGGGGCGGGTGATGGAGAGGCAAGAGGATGTGGTAGCTGAGGTGGAGCTGGCGGCGGCCCAACCGGCGGGGATGGGCTCGGCGGCGGATGTGGCGCCTCCGGACGCGACGCGTGGTGAGGAGCTGGGTTTGGCTGCCGCTGAGGCCGACGCTGAGATCGGCGCTGGGTGCGCCGAAACGCCTGCTGTTGACGAGGCCTTAGAGAGGCCTGAGCGCGACCTGGAGGAGTCTGGAACGTCGGCACATGAGACCCACGGCGACGGGAATGATGCTCGCGGAGCGGGTGCACGGATCCGCGCCCGACCAGCATCGACGCGGCTTGGATCAGGGCTGGCGCCTGGTCGCCCGGGACCCCTCCGGGGCTGGCTTGTGCCAGCGCCGCCGCGACCAGAGCAAGCGCATCGACCGACATTGGCGCCGCGACCTGCCGCACAAGAGAATGGAGGGGCAGCTACAGAAGAAGGTTCCGCGGTACGGAATACAACGACGCAAGAGGCGTCGGCGGCGGAAGGGGGACGGCAGCCTCATCACAATGCCCAGGTTCCGACACGACGGGAGACGAGGAGCTCAACGCGTGCACAGAGAATTACCTGGGGACAGCCCCGAGGCCCACCCCACGTACCGTTTAACGGCCCGTGGATCCCGGCGGGAAGAGCGCCACAGGCGGCACAGGGCGGGGGACGATCCGCGGGTCGAGCAGCCCGAGGCGGGGGACGAGGAGCGCGAGGGGACCAGGGAGATCGCGGTGCTGTGGCCGGGGGGAGAGGCGGACGTGGGACCACCGGAAGGGCAAGAGCCCCGCTGCTAGGAGGAGAGGCGGCGATCGAGAGAACGGGCACGTGGCGGGAGCGACACGACCGCCCTGAACGGACACTGGAGCCAGCCAATGGGGGTGAAGCTGCTTCTGACACCTCACCGAATGGGAGTGAATTTATCCCGCCCGGCTCAGATGCATCGGAAGGAATCTCCCTGGGCAACGAGGAGGAGTTTCGCCACGATGGAGGCAGGGGACGGGGGAGAAGGACAGGAGCCGGTGGTATACCACAAGCCGCCAACGCAAGAGCTGGGCCGGCGGAGGGAGAGGTGACACAGCTAGGGATGAGCAATATGACGAACACCTGTTCGGTTCGCCTCGAACACGTTCGAGGCGAACCGAACAATATTTTTTTTTGGCCTAAATTGTTCGGGGCGAACGTGTTCGGTGTTCGCCCGAACACGTTCGCCGTTCGCCCGGCTCAGCTGGCCGAGGCGCGACGAACACGAACGTGTTCGTGATCGACACGGGCCTTCGACGAACGCCAATGTGTTCATCGACGAATAGGCCCGCGACCAATTTTTAGGGCGCGGGCCTTGGTGTTTGGGCTCAGATCAAGGCCTTTTGCCGCTGCTTAAGTGCGGATCAAGGCCTTTTGCCGTTGCTTAAGTGCGGATCAAGGCATTTCGCCGTTGCTTAAGCTCAGATCTAGCATTTCGCCGTTGCTTAAGCGTAGATCTAGCATTTCGCCGTTGCTTAAGCGTAGATCTAGCATTTCGCTGTTGCTTAAGTGCGGATCAAGCATTTCGCCGTTGCTTAAGCTCAGATCTAGCATTTCGCCGTTGCTTAAGCTCAGATCTAGCATTTCGCCGTTGTTTAAGCGTAGATCTAGCATTTCGCCGTTGCTTAAGCGTAGATCTAGCATGGGCGGTTCTAGCAGGGCGGGACTGGCTTGCAGGGTGGGGGGAGGGAATGTGAAACATTTGGATTTCACTCTACTTGGATCTGAGAAGGTCCTTTAAGGCGAACGCGAACATGTTCTGGGCGAACGTGTTCGTGTTCGCCAAAACGTACGAAATGTTCGCCTCTCTTGGCGAACTTCGAACACCCTTTCTGGTGTAAAGTGTTCGGCGAACCGAACAGTGTTCGGTTCGCCAAACAGCCATGTTCGAGCCCAGGCGAACACGAACATGTTCGTGTTCGCCATTTGCTCATCCCTAGACACAGCCATCTGAAAAATCCCCTGCTGATCTGGCAAACGACGAGAGCATCTGGCAGCTGGCCAGTACCTGGGACGTGGCGCCACTGGTGCGTGTGGACCAGCCCTTCCTGGTGCGCCGAATGCCCCCTAAGGTCCTGGAGGGTTACACGATGTGCCTCCTGGCGCCCCTTCTGCGTCTGGCGAAGCACCCCGACTGCAAAGGAGCATGGACGGTGCTACAGTTCCTGCCACGTTTGACCCTTCGGCCCCAACCAGAGCCAGTGGAAGGCAACCGATGGATCAAAATTGAGACACGGCTACACCACTTCAGGCTTGGAGGCCTTGCGGACCTCTACAGTGAGGCCTGCGCTGTACCCGTTACGGAAGCCCCGACACGCCACCAGCCTGATGACGCTGGGCTCTGTGCAAGGGCCGAGGGGTTGATTAAAAAAGCAAACATTTCCAAGGCCGTGGCTACGCTACAAGTGACCCCGTTAGCGGAATCTACACCGACCACACTTGCGGCACTAAGGTCGAAACACCCCATGGGCGAGAAACCCATCCCAAGCTGGGTTACCAGCAGGACGGGCTCATCAATTTCGTCAGTATCTGTGACCCCTGGCGATGTCCGCGAAGTCCTCGCAAAATGTCCAAATGGAGTGGGTGCTGGGCCTTCTGGTACTTGCTTCAAACATCTCAAGGACCCCGCTCACTGCAGCGAGGAGGTCCTGTTGCTCCTCACGAAAATTGTCCGCCAGTTGCTCAACAGCGAACAAACGCAAGCTGTTCGTGACCTAATCCTGCCGTCCCGGTTGATAGCCTTGGAAAAGCCAGGAGGCGGCGTCAGACCGATAGCGATTGGGGAAGCATTGCTTAGGGTGGCCGCTAAGGCAGCACTGCGGGAACTGGCACCGGCGATACGGGAGTTCTTTCTCCCCGTCCAGTATAGTGTCTCCGTGCCTGGTGGGGCAGAGTGCGTCATACACACAGTGCGCGCCCTGCTCCGTGAAAATGAGCACCATGTAGCACTACAGCTCGACGTCGAGAATGCTTTCAACTCGGTCGAGCGTGAGGCCTTCTTCTCAGCGCTCCAGATCTCTGACCTGCATCAGCTTTTGCCGCTCGTGGGGACGCTCTACGACTCGCCCTCGCGACTCTTAGTCGACCCAGCGCTCGGCGTGGATCATATCATGAGTTCCAGAGGTGTCCGCCAAGGCGATCCCCTCGGTCCCCTCCTCTTTGCGACGGCGATTCAACCGATTCTGACGTATGCGGCATCAACTCACCCGGGAGCGGCAGTCATAGCCTACGCTGACGACATCACCGTGGTGGGGCCGCGCGAGGTGGCCTTCCAGGCTTTCGACGTCATCGTCACGGAGCTTGCGAAGTGCGGGCTCCGTTGCAACATCGCGAAATCTTCGGCGTGGGGACCGGAGGGGCACGGGGAGGGACTGGAGGAACCACCGCACGGCCTGACAGTGAGCCCAGACGGCATCAAATTACTTGGCAGCCCGATCGGCACTCCAGCCTACTGTACCGCTCAAGTCCAACAGGCGTTAACCAAGGCAGCGGCTCCGGTACCACTGATTGCACAACTTCACCCCCTGCACGCTCTGCTTCTGCTCAGTCGCAGCATCTCACGCAGGATCTCATACCTGCTCCGCACAACCCCGAGTTGTACACTTGAGCGGGAGGAGTGGAGGGCGTGGAGCGAGTCACTGCTGGGGGCGGCGCTCGCTTCGGCCAAGCTTAGAATCCCCTCAAGCGAACTCGAGCAGAGCCTCCTGTGGCGGCAGGCGACACTTCCCATACGCCTTGGCGGCCTGAGCATCATTGACCCAATCTCTGAGGCCCCGGCGGCTTACATTGCTTCGCTGACGGCTGCCCATCAACTGCTGAAGCAGATGCACCTGCCCGATTCGGACCTCCTCGCCCACGCGGAAACCATACTCTCTAGGGAATGGGCTCCTCCCCCGCCAGCGGTGACCGTGATTGCGGCGCTGGAAGAGGGACTGCCGTTGGAGGCGAAAACGGCTCTGCAAGGCTACAGGGAAGGGCCACAGGGGCAAGGGAACTTGCAGCTGCTACTCTCCAAGCACATCAACACGGTTAGGGCAAGAGAGCTGCTAGCAGACACGATAATGGATCAGCCGGGAGAGGATCAAGGGCATGGGGTCAGGCTAGTCAGTTTGAGGGGAGTGGGGGCGGGGGATTGGCTTCACGCGGTGCCAACGAGATCTGACCTTACATTTGCCCCTGGTCAGTTCTCGTTAGCACTCGGGTTCCGCCTCGGTATGGCTATGCCAGTTACAGTCAAGTGCCCCTGCAAGAATGACAACTCCGACATCGACGACACTAGCCTAGCTAACCACCTGCTACGGTGTGGAGAGGGAGGGGATGTGGTACGGACACACAACGCTTTGGTTTATGCGGCCCTGCGAATGGCACGGGAGGCGGGGTTCAACACTTTCCACGAGACCGCGGCTTTCTCACCCCCTGTGGTCCGCAAGCGCGCGGACTTGGCCTTCCAGGACCGGGAATCTGCAGAAACCTGGGTCACCGACGTCACAGTAACGGACCCGGTCCTTCAGAAGCGGGACCCAAGGGTTCGGAAGCCGCCAGGGTGGGCAGCCAAAGAGGCTTCTGAGAGGAAACACCGCCTCTACGAGAGCCGCCCGGACTACGTGGGGTTCCTGGGGCTGGCGGTTGAAACGTATGGGGCACTGGCAGCAGACACGGTCCAGTTCCTCCGTCTGCTGGCCGTGGCAACTGCTAAGAAAAAGTTCAGACATGGGCCGCTCACTACCACAGCATCCAGGCTCAACGCACATTATCGGCAGCGCTGGTCGGTGATGCTGCAACGCTCCCAGGCCATCTCCTTCCTCAACAAATCGAACATGGCAGCAGAAGCGGCGTACCCTCAAGCACCCATGGATCCCTGGGAGCCTAGCCTCGGGGACCTCTGGCAGGTGCTTGACGACGACTTGGCAGGAGTGTAGAGGCCGGGGAGCGGGAGCAGTGGTGGCAGAGGCGGGTAGCCAGGTTCGGGAGGAAAGGGGGCCTGTTGGATGAGGGTGCTGGCACAGGGAGCTCTCGGACGTGGGTTATGCTTGCTTAGGACGGCCTGTGCCTTGTGTTTGCTAGTGTGCTTGTCTTGCCTACCCATTTGCTAGCATGCCTAGAACAGTCAACTGGCTGTGTCCCGTCCCTGCATGTTTGTACCTTATAAGCAACATAAATGCATGACCACTTGAGAGAGAGAGAAGGCCTTAGCACCCAGCCCTCTTCCTCTTCCCCCGGCCCTCTTCCTCCGAGCCTATTTAAGGGCCCTTGGTGCCTTCTTCTCCTCATTATTTCGTCTGTTCTCAGTTTTCAGCGGCTGAGAGCGAGAGAGAGAAGGCCTTAGCACCCAACCCTCTTCCTCTTCCCCCGGCCCTCTTCCTCCGAGCCTATTTAAGGGCCCTTGGTGCCTTCTTCTCTTCATTATTTCGTGTGTTCTCAGTTTTCAGCGGCGCTGAGGCTGGGCCCCTCCCAACACTCTACTGCTTCCTCCTTCCGCCTAGGCCTCCCCCTCCCTGTCCCGAGGCGGTGCGACTGCCGATACCGCACCACCTTCCCTGATGACCGCCTCCCGAATCACCTTATGCGCTGCGAGAAGGGGAAGGGGAGGACTGCCACACACCATGCTCTCAGGGATGAAATCGCAAGGATAGGGGCGGAAGCGGGCTTCACGGTTCACAAGGAGACCTATGCCTATTCTCTGGTTGAAAACCTTAAAGCGGATGTCTCCATCCGCCATCCCCTGACCGGAGAAGTGTGGCTTTGTGATGTGACCGTGACTGACCGGGTGTCCTACCAGGACGAGAACTGCAACCGCGCACCCGGTTGGGCGGCTAGGGCGGCAGCTGCTCGGAAGGAGGAGAAATATGCGGGACGGAACGCGTGGGTGGGGTTCCACGCCTTAGCCGTGGAGACCTACGGCTACCCGTCGCCGGGGGTGCTAGCTTACCTTCAGCAGTGCGCGGAGCTGGCTGCGAAGCTCCGCTACAACGCGGCCCCTACCTCTCGAGAGGCTGCCAAGCTGCTGACGGAGTACCGCCAGCGCTGGAGCGTGTGCCTCCAGAGGGCGCAGGCCAACGCCCTCCGCACCAAGACCAATGAGACCTTGGAAGCGGACGAGCTCAGCCTGCAAGGGCCGTGGGCCCCTCTCAATGAGGGGCAGCTGCACCAGCTGATTGAGCCCCCGTCCGACCACTAGGGTCGGACAGAAGGGGGGGGGAGTGGGGTAGGTGATGGTTGAAAGGTCTGCTTGTTTGTCTAGTATGCATGTGTCTGCTTCAAACATTTGTATCACCCTTCAACTAATACACGGACCATTCGAGAGAGAGAGAGAGAGAGAGAGAGAGAGAGAGAGAGAGAGAGAGAGAGAGAGAGAGAGAGAGATCGGCTCCAACTGCAGGGAAACTACAGCACAGGCTGGACACGGCCATCCAGGGCCAGCGCTATGTCATGCAGGTGGAGGAGGTGCGGGGGATGAACCCGAACCCCAACAACGGTCACACGCAGCGGATGCTGTCCCTGTCAGGGTATGGGGCGGGGGATTGGTTAAACGCAGTGCCCATCCACTCCTCACTCCGCCTTGAGGCTCCCCACTATGCCAACGCGCTCCAGTTTCGGCTGGGGCTCCCCTTTGCGGCTCCAGGGGTTTGCAACTGCTCCAAGAAGGTGGAGATCCCGGATAAGCGGCTCCCGAATCACCTGCTTCGGTGCGGAACAGGGGGGGGGGGGCGCACAAACACACACAATGAACTCAGAGATGAGTGCGCGCGGATGGCGCAAGATGCACGCTTCATCGTGCACATCGAGACGGCCGCCTTCAGCCCAGTGGAGGAGAAGAAGGCAGACCTGGCCTTACGTTGCCGCTCTACTGGCGCCGTCTACATCTGCGATGTGACGATAACGGACCCCATCAGCACCCGCGATGAGAACGCCACCAAGGGGAGGGGGTGGGCGGCACGGGAGGCAGCAGATAAGAAACACGGCCTTTACAAGGACCACCCAGAGTGGGTGAAGTTCTTCCCACTAACACCTATACAAGTAGGAGATGCGCCGACGACTGAAGTGTGCTCACGGGGGTCCCAACTCGAGCAGCCTCTGCAAGATCCCCCACGTGGCGGGGGAAGGTACGCGCAAGGGAGCTACCCCGGTGGGCGCTTCCGACACGGGTGCCAACGGCGACTCGAGCGATTCTGCCAAAGTCACGCAGGATCCTCGGGACCCTGGACCGTAACTGCTCGGAAAGTTCCGCGTGGCCGCACACACCGCCAGCTGCAAGTTCGCCACCACCTCGCACGCCTCCGCCACATTCAGAATCCTGCACATGGTCAGCATGGGGTCTCTCCCCGCGTGACTGGGGGGATGTGCAGTCGGCGCTTCGCGCAGAAACGCCGTCGGCCAGCCAGGAGTCCGGCCAACAGAGAGGCGCTGCGCGGAGAAGCCCGGGACTTGACGAGGGGTGCGGAACTGAGCCCGCACCTCCCGCGCGGGCTGATATTCGCGCACCGTCAGCGCGCGCAGAGGAGCCACCTCCGCGGCGAAATGAGGGCCGTTGGTCACCTCAATGTGTACGTGAGTCGGCTCTCCACTCGCCCGCGCCTGACGCACAACCTCCGCAAACGCACTCGTTGCCCGATCCAGGGCAGGATCCTGCCTGCGACCGTTTCCGCCACGCCCACCGCCATTCCGCCGGCCCCGACGGCCTCCGGAACCAGCCGAATGCGGACGCGGAGGGGACTGCTCGCGACGACCCGAATCCCAGCGACGCCCAGGTGACCCCCTCCCCCGCGTCGCGGGAGATCGCCGCGGAGAGCGTTGCGCGGGGGATCGCGCTCGGGGTGGGCGCTGGCCTGCCCGACCACGAGGAGATGGGCGGCGAGGTGAACGAGGACGCGCAGGGGACCGCTGATCGCCCTCCCTGCGCTGTTGAGTTTCGCGATGCTCAGGAGAAGGTTGGCGAGGAGAGGGCTGCCGCGGAGGCGGACGCAGAGGCGAGCGCCCGCGCTCCTGCCGCGGCTGTCTGTCAGGGCGGTTCGATGCAACGCGTGCAGGGGCCCACGAATACTCCGGCGAGGTGGGGCGCGCAGCAGGCCGATGGGGAAGAGTTAGCACCCGCTCGAAGCGGCGGACGAGCTCGCTTGCGGAGGGGTGCGCATGGGACACGCCGCACGCGGGCGAAGCCCGGCAGGCGCAGGCTCCGGCAGCGCGCTCTCCGCGGAACCCTCGAGCTCCGGATCCCGTCTCGCGGATGGATCCATCACCCCCGACAGCACCGCAGCCGACGCCAGCGCGCCGACCAATTGAGGACCCGGCGGACGAGGCGCCCCAGACAGGACAAGCGGGAGCTGCGGGTGGAAGAGGAACCGGGGGAATACGCGTGGGACGCGGCAGCAACCGCCGCGGACGCCATGGGAACGGAAGAGGACGAAGAGGTGGAGGAGCACGATGCTCCAATCGGCGCCGCACCAGCGCAAGCGGATACGCGAGAACGGCAGAAAGGCTGATGCGTGAAGGCGCGAAAGGCGGCGAGGAGGTGCCCAGCGAGGAGGCAGAGGACGATGTCGAGAATGAAGAAAGCGAGGGGGGTGACCCTGCTTTTAACCCAAAAAGAGAGGGGATGTTCGAAGCAGAGGCCGAGGAGGACGAGGAAGAGTTGGAGCTGCTGCTTCTGGGAGCGGAGTGTTAGAATTAGGCTGTCAACACTTTGTGTACTATATTCTATATCGCGTAGGTTATTTGTGGGTTGGGTGTAGTTTGTGATCCCAACCCTATCTGGTTGGGATTCCTTCGTAATCCTGCAAATCTGCCAACTCACCAATTGGAGATTTGCTAGGATTCCCATCCTATCTTTTCCCTAGCCTTGCCCATCCCAACCTCGTTTTGTACTTAAGGCTTAGTGCCTTCTTTCTTAATCAATCAGTTCAGTTCCAATTCTATCATGGTATCTAGGGATGAGCAAAATTCCGAACAGGCATTTTTTTTTTGCCTAAATTGTTCGGGCCGAACATGTTCGGTGTTCGGCCGAACATGTTCGATGTTCGCCCCAAAATTTCGGGCCTCCAAGCCGAACACGAACATGTTCGTGTTCGACTTGGGGGCCACGCGAACACCAAAAATGTTCGCGGCAAAATTGGCCGCGACCAGATTTAGGTCGCGACCAATTTTTGTTTGAGCTCATTTCGTGAGCTCAAACTCAGAACGCGTTTTTGCCTTAGCGCTCCCTCACACAGCCGCCCTAGCCTTCTTGTTCTAGGTGCAAGCAAGTGCACGCCGATACTTACTTGCAATATACACGGACATTAAATGTATTATGCATAGGGTTTAGCGTAGTGTAGGGTGTTTAGGGTTGCTATTAATTAAGGTTCAGCCAACATCTCCGCAAAGGGCTCAAGTAGGGCGTATTTCAGATACCTTACCGTGCGGGATAACTATTAGGAACGTGCGGCACCATCCAACCAACTCTACCGTTGCACGAAGGGTGTTTTAGGGTTTAGGGTAGAGGGCTGAGTTATGGCTTCCAGGGCTGGTGGATCCATAGGGAGAGGTGCAGGCAGGGCTCAAGGCAGCGCACCGGGTTCTCCACCACGACCTATGCAAGGGCGGGTAGGGGATGGACCAGGAGGAGCCGGCGCGATCTTCGTTGGGGGGTTGCTTACCGTACCGGCGCCGACCTCCCGTCGCTCTTTCCGTTACGACGGCCCTCGACCCCCTCCTTCGGGGCAGACGCAGCTGGAGAGCGGCAGTGCGGAGGAGGATGAGGAGGAGGATGGTGAGGGCGAGAAGGAGGAGGACAGTGAGGGGAGCGGGGATGACAGCGAGGCGGCGTGGGACCCAGAGACGCATGGCGGTGGGGAGGGGGGAGATGATGATGATGAAGACCACAAGTTGGATGGGTTGGAGCCAGAGGGGCGGGAGGAGGAGGTGGGAGAGGGTGGCGGAAGGGGGGCGACAGAGGCGGGATCACAGCATGTGCGAGAAGGGGGAGGGAGCGTGGGGGTTACGGTGGGGGGGAAAAAGGCCGTGACCATTAGGGAGCCGAGGCAGCGGAAGAAGGCCAACAAGTTGAGGGAGCGGGCGTATCCCTGCACGTTCACTGGGGAGCCCTTGGGCGAGGGTGTGATCGCTCCCGAGTTCCTAGACGAGGACGGAGGGTCCGAGAGTAGTAAGGGGACTGGCAAGGGTAATAGGAAGCCGGGGTGGCAGGTAATGATGTTCGGACCGTTAGGGGCAGACGAGAAGCGTCAGTGCAAGATTTGCACAGACAGGATTTCTTGGAAGCAATCCACAACAACCCCCGGCGAGAGGCACTTTGCGAGCTTCCACACTGCGCACATGCATGTGTGGCATCACCGTTACCACACCCCGTCCGTTCACTTGCCAGGGGAGACGTTTCCCCGTGGGGGCTACAAGGGAGTGCCGGATGGGTACGTCTATGAGTGGCCACATGCCAAAACTTGGCCGCAACTCGCCAAGGGGAAAGGGAAGGCGACTGGTGGAGGTGATGGGTCAGGCGGGATCGAGCGGTGGATGACAACCAAACTGACCTCGGTGCAGCTACGGCAGGCGATCACGAAGCTGGTGGTCACCTGCGACCTCCCCTTCCGCATCGTCGAGACCGAGGCTGTAAGTGCCCCATCCCATCCCATGCATTCTTGGGCAAGTATGTGGTTAGTGGATGGGTCTGTCCGCTTGTGTTGCACCCGCCATGCATGTGTTGCACCCGCCATGCATGTTGCACCCGCCATGCATGTTGCACCCGCCATGCATGTGTTGCACCCGCCATGCATGTGTTGCACCCGCCATGCATGTGTTGCACCCGCCATGCATGTGTTGCACCCGCTTGTGTTTTGACTGTTTGCTTGTGGCCCCGGGTTTCCGTTTAGTCCCCTCTCCCCCCCCTTGTGTCTACCCCTCTCCAGTTTCGTGAGCTACTCATCCTGCTAAACCGCAACTGCGCGCAGAAGAACTTCATCCCCTCGCGCTGGACGGTTTCCCGCGACACAGTGGTCTATGCGGCTGCCGCTCTTCAGTCATCCGTTGCGGAGATGCTGGCGAAGGAGGGGGAGGAGGGGTGCAGGGTGTCGTTCACCATCGACATGTGGACGGCACCCAACAACACGGCGTGGCTAGTGGTAACGGGTCACTGGATCGACGAGAATTTCCAGCTGCGCACAATGGTGTTTGAATTCCGCGAGATTCACGGGCGTCACACGGGCAAGCAGATGGCGAGGGTGGTTGAGGAGACGGTGGTGCACTGGGGGTTGGAGACGCGTTGTCTTGGGTTCACCTCAGACAACGCCTCCAGCAACACTGCCGCTTTCAGATGGATGTCGGAGGAGGGTGGTGGCCAGTGCTTCTTCAACTCGCGCATGCACTTCCGGTACGGAAGGGAGTGTGCGTGGGATGTGCAATGAGAGTGGGTGGGCCTATGCGGCTTGAGATTGGAAGTGTTTCTCGGGTCTATGCCAATGTGTACTCACACTTCCCTTTCTCTCCGCCGTTAATGTCTGGTGATGTGCGCAGATGCCTGGCACACGTGATCAACCTTGCAGTGAAGGCAGCTCTCGCAGTGGCTGCCATCCGCAAGTTGTTGCGGATCCTGAGAGAGATGGCGTCGTGGATAGGCTTCTCGCCACAGCGCTCAGGGAAGTTCTTGAGCCTTCAGCGGACCCTGAACGCGCAGGCCAACCCCGCCAAACCGAAGCCGGCGTTGAAGTTGGTGCAGCACAGTCCCACACGCTGGGGGTCGACCCACGACATGGTCGAGCGAGCTGGGGTTCTGCAGGAACCCATCACTGTCTTCTTTGCCCAGACACAGGTGTGTGTGTGTGCGAAGTGTTGTGTGTGCGGTTTAATCTGTGGATATGTTGGGGTGTTTTGCTTTGGATCCTTGGACCACTGTTGGCCATGCTTGACTTGACTAAACACCCGCCCACCCATACGTTCTAACCCACACCACAGGGCGTGTCGAAGACTGACAAGGCGAAGCTGGACACCTTGCGCCTGACGGACGCAGACTGGGAGACTCTGCATTCTGTCAAGACCTTCCTCAGCCCATTCGCCAAAGTCTCAAAGGCAGCGGAGGGTGCGGCATACCCTACAGTGGCGATGGTCCTGCCGTACTACAACGGCCTGATCGACGCTATGGAGTCGCGCCTTGCCAAGGGGCCATCGCCTACGCTAAAGCCGATGATTGAGGCGGCGCTGGGTCTCTTGAAGAAGTATGAACTGATGTCCAGCAACGAGCTGTGGATCGCGACCTTCCTGGACCCTTCCATGAAGGCGGCGTGGTTCGACGACGCGCACTGGGAGACGCTGCATCCCGATACCGACCGGAGAGCGAGGCCTCGCCCCTCGTCAGGCGAGGTGATCCAGCTGGTTCGCGAACGCGTGGCCAAGTACCAGGTCCGGGCTGCAGCGATTGCCCCTCGGCCGACCCCACTTGCCACAGTGACGGAGGAGGAGGAGGGAGACGCGGCGGATGACGACGAAGACGCCGAGTTTCTCCTTAGTCGCCGACGCCTTGCGGCGCGTCTATCGGCGAGCCAGGAGGCGGGGAGGGGTGGGATGGTGCAGGATGACGAGGTTGGCAGGTACTTATCTGAGAGGGTGCGGTGCGACGTGTCAGCGTTGGAGTATTGGCGCAGCGCCACCAACATGCAGACGCTGAGGCGCATGGCCCGGGATTATCTTGCCATCCCTGCCACGTCCGCGTCGAGCGAGCGCGTGTTCTCCCTCGGCCGCAACCTCATTTCCTGGAAGCGGCACCGCCTAGCCTCTCAGAGGACGCGAGCGTCCATGATTCTCAGATCATGGTACAGCTCACACCCAGGACAGAGGATAGGCGAGGGCCGCCGTGCAAAAGGCGAGGCACCACCAGAGTTCGCCATTGAAGGCGAGGGGGAGGAGGAGGACGACGAGTGGGAGGAGGAGGAGGGGGAGGGGGAGCAGGATGGGGTGGGTGTTGGCGACACCACTGACGCGGAGGAGCATGGTGTTGTTGGTAGTAGCAGTGGTGTGCAGGCGTAGGATTTAATTTGACAGTGACTTTTATATAGGCAAAACATGACGGTGTCGTATGCTAGTGTGCGTTGCATGAACACATATACACCCTCCATCCCCCTATCTATCTTCCCAACCCTCCAGATTCCCTGTTTGACAAATGTGATGTGACTATAACGAAATTGCCCACAGGCGAACTCGAACATGTTCGGTTCGAACATGTTCGAGTTCGCCCACATATACCAAATGTTCGCCCCCATGGGCGAACGGCGAACACCTCCTGCAGCCCAAATTGTTCGCCGAACCGAACCTTGTTCGGTTCGGGAAATGGTGATGTTCGAGCGAACTCGAACACGAACGTGTTCGAGTTCGCCCTTTGCTCATCCCTAATGGTATCGAGCTAGCAAATTCCGCTCACGCGGAATCCGATCCTTGGCGTCGCGATCATTCTCTTCCTCTCGGCTATGGCGTTCTCGGTTCACGCCTTCTTCGCTTAGCGTTTTTCGTCTTCACATCGTCGCACTGGTCAATTCTGAGCTGTTCGCTCAGGTGGCAGACTGGGACCTTGACTCGCTGCGCGACAGTCGCCAACCTCCTCTCGCTCGCCACCCCCCCAAAGACTTTCGCGACTCCTTCGCGATCTGCATGTTGACACCGTTACTCCACCTGGCGGCCAATCCCGAGTCTCCGCCAGGGTGGAAATTACTGACCTTTCTCCCGCGCATACTCCTCCGCACCTCGTCAGCCCGTAAACCTGACTGGAGCACGATGATGAATCGGCTCCAGCGATTTCGCCAAGGGCTCTGGGCGGACCTATACGAAGAAGCTGTCCAGGCGATTTCCCTGTCACCGCAACCTCGCCACGCACCTGACACAACTAGAATACTGGCAAGGGCGGAAGGACTGGCAAAACGGGGTAACTTGTCAAAATCACTTCAATCCCTCCAGGCCACCCCTGTGTCACCTGCCTCACCTGAAGTGTTGGAAGCCCTCGCGGCGAGACATCCGTCTGCCAGCCAACTACTCCCTGGCTGGCTCCACACCGCCACGGCGGAAGACCCACCTACTATCGAAGCCCGCGACTTCAGGCGCCTCCTCGCCAAGCTCCCCAACGGAGTCGGGGCCGGCCCCTCAGGAACCACTTTCGAGCACATCCGCGACGCAGCCCTAGGGAATGCTGAAGTACTCACCCACCTCCTCGCCCTCTCCAACACGGCTCTAGTAGGAAAACTTCCCACAGTCGCGGGGGAACTACTCACGGCCTCCCGCCTGTTAGCCTTTACGAAACCCCATGGAGGGACGCGGCCGATAGCGGTGGGGGAGTGTCTCCTCCGGATTATAGCGAAGGCCGCTCTTTTTCTGACCGCGCCGGCCGCTCGTTCTCACTTTGCACCCCTTCAATTCGGAGTAGCAGTAGCAGGGGGGATCGAGGCGCCAATCCACACCGCTCGCACGTACCTGGAAGTGCACCCTGCTGCAGTGGCCCTGCAGATTGACCTCGCGAACGCATTCAACGCGGTCGAAAGGAGAGCGGTGTTCGAGGGACTGAGAAACGAGGCGCTGAAGGAGCTGATCCCCCTCGTCAGCCTATCATATGGGGCTCCCTCCTCGCTTTACCTCGACCACGACTTCGGCGCAGCCCCGCTGCAGAGCGCCAGAGGAGTTCGCCACGGGGACCCGCTCGGCCCCCTCCTATTCGCGGCAAGCATCCACCCGTGCCTCGTTGACACGGCGGCGGCACACCCTCAGGTGGTCCTGCTGGCGTACGCCGATGCCATCACGCTGCTCGGCGACGCCACGGCCTGCACAGCAGCTTTCAACCACCTCACATCTGCACTAGCCGCCCTCGGCCTGGTACACAACCCGGCTAAGTGCGCGGCGTGGTCCGCCGCACCAATCGACCCCTCTTCAGTTCCCCCGGGCATTACTATCTCTGCAGAGGGTTTGCAGATTCTCGGCAGCCCGGTTGGCACACCCTGGGGCTGCGCGGACGCTCTGAGAGAGAGATTGGCAGTAGCAGCATGCCCACTCCCCCTGCTGGCCCAGATGGATCCCCAGCTTAGTCTCCTCCTCCTCACCCGCTGTGTCAGCCACCGAGCATCCTTTCTAGCCAGAACCACCCACCTGGAAGCTCTCCCTGAAGCGGAATGGTCAGCCTGGGGGGAGCAGCTTCTACACACCTTCCTGGACTCGGCCCATATCATGAGCCCGAGGAGTGCCCGGGAGAGGCGGAGGATTTGGCGGCAGGCGGCCCTGCCAGTGACTCTGGGAGGTCTGGGCATCACTGACCCCGCCGTTGAAGGCAGCTACGCCTACCTCGCTTCAGTGATCAGCGCCGCCCACCTACTACACTCTCTGGAGGACTCGTTGCACCCTGCTGTCGCCGCGCTCCTCCCCCTACTGGACCCTACCCACGGCTCTCCGCATGCGCTGCCTGCACGCCTCGCTGCGGCTGAGGCAGCTCTCCCCCGTGAGGCTCTCGAGGTGCTCCAGGCCAGGAAGGCGGACCGCAAGGGACTGAAGCTGCAGCAGAGCCTAGCGCTGGCGGTTCACTCCCGCCGCTTCTTGAGAGTCATGCGCGAGGCAAGGCGGATGCGCCCCAACCCCCGTTCTGGCCACGCGCAACGGATGCAGTCGGTGCTAGGCCCAGGCGCGGGGGATTGGCTGCTGGCGATCCCGCTCATCCCCTCGCTCCGGATGGGCCCGTCCCAGCTCTCAACTGCAGCTGCCTTCCGCCTAGGCCTCCCCCTCCCAGTGCCTAGACGCTGTGACTGCCGCTACCGCACCACCTTCCCCGACGACCGCCTCCCCAACCAACTCATGCGCTGCGAGAAGGGGAAAGGGAGGACCACAACCCATCACGCTCTACCGGATGAGATAGCGAACATTGGGGCTGAGGCGGGATTTACGGTTCACAAGGAGACGCATGTCTACTCACTGGTTGAAAACCTAAAGGCGGATGTCACCATCCGTCATCCCCTGACTGGTGAGGTTTGGTCTGGATGTGCGACGTGACCGTGACGGACCCGGTGTCATATCAGGACGAGAACTGCAACCGAGCTCCTGGATGGGCGGCTAGGGCGGCAGCAGCAAAAAAGGAGGAGAAGTACGCGCGGCGGAACGCGTGGGTGGGGTTCCACGCGCTTGCAGTGGAAACTTACGGCTACCCCTCGCCGGGGGTGATGGCTTACCTGCGGCAATGCGCGGAGCTGGCAGCAAAGCTGCGGTTTAACGCAGCTCCTACCTCCTACGAAGCAGCGAAGCTGCTGACGGAGTACCGCCAGCGCTGGAGCGTGTGCCTCCAGCGGGCGCAGGCCAACGCCCTCCGCACCAAGACCAATGAGGCCTTGGCGGCGGACGAGCTCGGCTTTAGAGGACCCATCATCCCTCTCAGTGAGGGACAGCTGCACCAGTTGATTGAGGCCCCGTTCGACCAGTAGGGTCGGACAGGGGGGGGGGGGGGGCTGAGTAGGTAGGGGACTTGAGGTAGTTAGGATAGGGATGAGCAAAGGGCGAACACGAACATGTTCGTCTTCGCCCCTTGTCGAACACCCTCTTTTGCCGAACCGAACACTGTTCGGTTCGGCGAACAGTTTAGGAAAAAACAGGTGTTCGCTGTTCGCCTGTGGAGGCGTGTTCGGGCGAACCTCGAACACTGTTCGTGTTCGTCGCGGGCAAATTTCAGCAGCGGCCCGAACACGAACGTGTTCGGGCGAACATCGAACACTGTTCGGCGAACGATTTGAGCTAAAAAACAAAGCCTGTTCGGTTCGCCTCGAACACGTTCGAGGCGAACCGAACAGGTGTTCGCCACCTTGCTCATCCCTAAGTTAGGATGCCGGTTTTAATGTTTGTTGTGCTTGTGTGTTTGCATCTTCCTTTGTACCACCCCTCAACGTAATGCAGCAGAAGAGCAGAGGGGAGCGGGAAGGGAAGGCAGGAATGACGTGTGTGCACAGAGTGCAGTGCAGGCAATCAAAGCAACCGAGGGCAGTGGAGTCACACACAGCAATGCCCCATTCCCCCCTGCTCCACCCCTGCCCCGCCCCTGCCCCACACCCCCATGCCCCCCTCCCTAATGGACTGGTCCTCTCAGTGCCACGCTCCCCCTGCCGTGACCCACCATGGTATCCCCGATGCCGACACTCAGCAGCCCCGCAAAGGGTGCCACGTGGCAACGGAGGGGAGAGAACTGCTAGCCCTGCCTAGTACTTAAGCCAGGGAGCTATGCTCCCTGGCTCATTATTCTCAGCTTAGTTGTGTTCCTTTCAACTGTGACAACATTAGTACATAGGTAGAAGTCACCAAGTGCGTAGGTAAACATGACTGAACTACCAGCCATCAAGGGCCCTAGCGTGCCCCAAACACTTTGCTACCGCCGCCGCGTGTGGCCTACACAAACTCCGTCACGCCCGCAAACTGAAGCACGCTGGCGACAACCTTATCCACCAGGCGGAGCGCGGACACGCAGCCGTCTACAACAGCTACAGCTGATGCCAACTGCACCTTCATCCCCACCTCTTCGAGGACGCATGCCTCACCAGCGCCCAAGCCCAACTCCCCACCGGGCCCAACCAACGTCCGCTCCAGCTCGTGTACTAGGTCCCGCACGGCAAGCTGGCACCGTTCAGTCCGATCAGCATCCATCCTACAATGTGCAGTGGGACAGTCCTCCATCGCCCCCAACGCAGCCTCAAGAACGTTCGTCACCACTTCAACAAACGCCCGCCCGTGCCACAGTCGCACAAGCACCTCACTTGACAGCCGCAACGCGCGAGGAGGGGCACAGGTCCGCGCCCGAATCTGCTCCACGATCACGCGGGAGCTCAGGTGGACCCCAACGGACCGACGACGCGGAGGGCGGATGTCCCGAGGCATCGGCGCGGCGGACGACTCACCAGCATCAAGATCCATCCCCTCTGCGGCTCCCGCCACCGCAAGTGGAGCTGCAGCCATGGGGCCAGCACCTAGGGGCGGGTGATACGGAGCCCGCCCGGAGGCATACTCAAACCCGGGGAGTTGGGGGGCAGGAACCGGAGGCCCAGGAGGCGGCGCAGGATGCTGTGGGAGATGAGCTTCGTGGAGCTGCTGCAGGCCAGGAAGGAGAGGTGGAAGACCACCGTTATAGATGGGATGAAACTGGGCCTGTCCGCCGGGAGCAAATCCCCACACAGTCGGAGGACCGGCGTGCGGAGGGAACGGAGCGCCAGGGGGAGGCGCAGGAGGAGGCGGCAGCTGCGGAGCAGGAGGCGGCGCAGCAGAGGACATGGGTGGCGCAGCCGGGGGATTCGGCGACAGATCGAGCGGAGGGGGTATCTGCAGCGGATGCACAGGCGCGGGAACGAGGCTCGGTGCCATCGCACCACGCACCGCATCGGGAAGCGCCGCTAGCGCCCGCTCGACAGCTTCAGCCGCAGCCGTCTCCGCGGCCGCGGCAGCAGCAGCCGCCACAGGTGCAGGGTCAGCCGCCACAGGTGCAGGGTCAGCCGCCTGCTGATGGGGATGACTCGGGCGCCAGTAACGCCGGGACTGATTTCGATGCCCATGACTATTTGCGGGCTGAGATCGCTGGGGAGAGGCGGGACGGCGGGGAGACTGCTGGCGCGGAGACTGCTGGCGCGGAGACTGCTGGCGCGGAGACTGCTGGCGCGGAGACTGCTGGCGCGGAGACTGCTGGCGCGGAGACTGCTGGCGCGGAGACTGCTGGCGCGGAGACTGCTGGCGCGGAGACTGCTGGCGCGGAGACTGCTGGCGCGGAGACTGCTGGCGCGGAGACTGCTGGCGCGGAGACTGCTGGCGCGGAGACTGCTGGCGCGGAGACTGCTGGCGCGGAGACTGCTGGCGCGGAGACTGCTGGCGCGGAGACTGCTGGCGCGGAGACTGCTGGCGCGGAGACTGCTGGCGCGGAGACTGCTGGCGCGGAGACTGCTGGCGCGGAGACTGCTGGCGCGGAGACTGCTGGCGCGGAGACTGCTGGCGCGGAGACTGCTGGCGCGGAGACTGCTGGCGCGGAGACTGCTGGCGCGGAGACTGCTGGCGCGGAGACTGCTGGCGCGGAGACTGCTGGCGCGGAGACTGCTGGCGCGGAGACTGCTGGCGCGGAGACTGCTGGCGCGGAGACTGCTGGAGACTGCTGGCGCGGAGACTGCTGGCGCGGAGACTGCTGGCGCGGAGACTGCTGGCGCGGAGACTGCTGGCGCGGAGACTGCTGGCGCGGAGACTGCTGGCGCGGAGACTGCTGGCGCGGAGACTGCTGGCGCGGAGACTGCTGGCGCGGAGACTGCTGGCGCGGAGACTGCTGGCGCGGAGACTGCTGGCGCGGAGACTGCTGGCGCGGAGACTGCTGGCGCGGAGACTGCTGGCGCGGAGACGACCGACGAGGAGACGCTTGCAGCGACGACGACGGCCGCGACGGAATGGGCGCGGTCACAGCAGACCGAGCCACCTCCGGCCATAGCGCCGGGGACTGGGTGGGACGCCATGGCGACGGATTACGACGCTCCCCGTGCGCACGAGAGGGGGATCGCTCCCGGCCCCACGAACGCGAGCCAGGCATCGCCAAGGCGGGCCGCCAAACAGCTGCAATGGTGGTCTCCGCAACTGCAGCGGGCGAACCTGACGCACACGAGGGGCCGGGCAAACAGCACCAGGGGGCGACGTGGGGGCGGTCGTGGCAGAGGAGGCCGCGCGAGCCCACAGACTAGAGGTGGCAGCTACGCACAAATTGCAAGGCGCTTACTCACCGATGGAAACCTTCTAAGTGGAGCCGAAGCGCCTAACGAGCAGAGGACGGATGAGAGAGCAGACGGAGAGGAGAGGGAGAACGAGGAACTGAGGAATGAGCCTTTGGGTGACCAACCTTATACCCCCTCGAGGGAGGGTGTCCCCAGCTCAGAAACCGAGGAGCCAGGCGAACAAGGGGTGGAGGAGGATGGCCCCCGAGGTGGGGGTCGACAAATTCGCCGAGGCGCATCTGAATTTTCCCCCCGAAATTCATCACGCGTGGCTACCAGACCTGCACCCCGAGCCAACCAGGTCAATCGAGTCCCACCAGAAAGAACACCCCAACCACACTACTCACCGAAGCAGCTGGCTGACAGCACCGCGAAATTTGCGGAAATTGCCAACTGGGACATCCAGGTGCTCCGAGACTCTCGCCAACCCCCATTGGCCCGCCATTTTCCAAGAATCATCAAAGATACGTTTGCCACCTGCCTCCTGACCCCCCTGCTACGATTGGCCAAGGAACCTGACTCAATCCAAGCCTGGACCCTGCTCCTCTTCCTCTCGCGCTTAACACTTCGTGCCAGCTCAACCCGCAAACCTGACTGGGCCGCGATTTCTGCACGGCTGATGCTTTTTCGCCAGGGGAAGTGGGGAGAACTCTACACTGCTGCCTGCGACGCGGTCAACCTCCCACCTGCTCCTCGGCATGCACCTGATGATACAGGGAAACTGGCGAGGGCGACGGGGTTGGCGAAGAAGGGGAGCCTCGCCAAAGCCCTGCAGGCTCTGGAGAGCACACCCGTGAGCCCCTGCTCACCTGAGATTCTCGAAGCACTGCAGCTACGCCACCCCGTAAGCACAGCAGACCCTCCCCCTTGGCTCGACGAGCACTCCATTCCCTCAGCTCTAGCAATTACGCTAAGGGACCTGAGGCAAATTCTCGCGACATGCAAAAACGGGATGGGGGCAGGGCCCAGTGGAATGACGTTCGAGCATGTGAGGGATGCTGCACGTCGCCACCACGACGTGGCCGAGCACCTACTGGCCCTGGTCAACACGGCGCTTGCTGGCAAACTCTCCAACGAGGCTGCGACGCTGCTCACGCCTCCAGACTGCTGGCAGGCATTCACAAAACCCGAGGGCGGAACCCGGCCCATAGCTGTGGCCGAGGTGATTCAGCGTGTAATCGCAAAAGCGGCACTTCTACTCGCCGCTCCGTTCGCCCGCCGCCATTTCGCCCCAATCCAGTACGGCGTTGCCACGCCTGGCGGTGCGGAGGCAATCATCCACGCCACACGAACCCACCTGGAGGAAAACGCCGGCCATCTCGCCCTCCAACTCGACATTTCGAACGCCTTCAATGCGGTGGAGAGGGGAGCGGTCTTCGAGGGCCTCCGAGACTCACCTTTGGAGTTTCTAGTCCCCTTCACGCGAAGCTCATGTGGCGCGCCGTCTGAACTCATCATCCACGCAACGTTCCACGCCAGCAACCTCTGCTCTTCGAGAGGAGTACGCCAGGGGGATCCCATGGGACCCCTCCTCTTCGCCGCTGCAATGCACCCAGCGCTACGGACAGTGGCCGCTGCTCACCCCAACGTCGTCGTCCTCGCCTATGCGGACAACATCACGCTACTCGGCCCTGGACCCGACTGCACCGCCGCCTTCAACGGCCTCACCGCGGCCCTTGCCCCACTCGGCCTCCACCACAACCCGGGCAAATGCGCGGCCTGGTCGCCCACACCATCCAACCTCTACCACCTACCCACGGGAGTGCCATGGTCGCCCTCGGGCCTCAGGGTCCTGGGCAGCCCTGTGGGGCCGCCCGAGGATTGCGCCACGTTCCTCCGCACCAGAATGGTCGAGGCTGTGGAGCCGTCGGCACTCCTCTCCCAGCTGGAGCCGCAAGTGTGCCTCCTACTCCTTACGCGCTGCATCAGCCGCCGAATCTCCTACATCCTCCGTACCACCCCCCCGGACTCCCTACCCCCCGCCGATTGGGAGAACTGGGGGGAGGGAAACTTGCACACCCTCCTAACATCCGCCGCCATCCCCCTGCCACGCCACCGCTCCGAGCAGCTGCGGGCCTGGCGTCAGGCCTCCCTCCCGCCTACACTTGGAGGCCTCGCCATCGCCGACCCCGCCCTGGAGCGGTATGCGAGCTACGTGGCCTCAACCGCGGCCGCCTTCCACCTCCTCTCCACGTCTTCCTCTCCCTCCCACCCCCAAGTGCTGGCAATCCCCCCCCTCTTCTCCGCCGATAACACAAGCCACTCCCAACTTCCTGTTCGTTTGGCGGCTGCGGAGGAGAACCTGCCACAAGAGGCAATTGGAATTCTACAGAAAGTACGGGAGGGGGGGGGACTCATGAAACTTCAGCACGCTATCTCCCTCCGTGTCCACGCATCAAGGGCAGCAACGGCGGTGCAAGAGAGCAGGAGAATGGATCTGAACCCCCTACTCGGCCATACTCAGCGGCTGCAGTCCCTCATGGGACCCGGAGCAGGGGACTGGCTCATGTCCCTACCTATCAACAGACCTCACTCTCTCCCCGCCCACCACTTCGATGGCTGCCTTCCGCCTTGGCATACCTCAGCTCGTCCCGGCCTTTTGCGATTGCAACGACCAAGTGGAGATACTTGACCCCCGCCTACCCAACCACCTACTTCGGTGCGAAACGGGGAAGGAACGAACGGGCACCCACCACGCGCTGAGAGACGAGTGTGAGCGGATCGCGACGGAGGCAGGCTTCTCAGTCCAAAAGGAGACGACACTGTACACACCAGTGGAGGGCCTCAAGGCGGATCTCGCTATGCGCCACCCCGACTCAGGAGCCGTGTGGCTCATCGACGTAACAGTAACCGACCCCATATCCTCCCAAGACGAGACGGCCAGGCGGGGAGTGGGCTGGGCAGCCAGGGCGGCGGCAAGAGCGAAAGAACACAAGTACCGCAACCGGCGGCCGTGGGTGGGGTTTATTGCAATGGCAGTAGAGACCTACGGGTGCTGTTCACCCGGAGTATTTGAGTTCATGCGCCTATGTGCAAACCTGGCGGCAAAACGCCTCCACAACGCCGAGCCTTCTTCCCGGGAGGCAACAAAACTGTTTCACTCGTACCGCCAGAGGTGGTCAATTGCCCTGCAAAAGGGCCAGGCGAACGCCCTTTGTGCCAAGACCCTGGCGGCCTTGGAGGCGGAGGCAGCGACTTGTGCCTACCAGGATGAGCCCCTTGACACGGGCGCCCTCATGCATATTCTCGAGCCGGACTTTGAGCTGCCTTAGGCGGTTCCCTTGCATGCCTGTGCGTGAATACATAAAACTGCGCTGTTGTATTGCATGTTACATCCAATGAAGGACCATTCGAGCCGGATCTGGAATTCCCCCGCCACCGAGCCAACCAACCTTTTCGCCAGCAGACCTGGCGAAGCGCAGGGACCTTTTCGCCCAGGTTTCCACCTGGGACCTTTCCAACCTGAGTGATAGCCGCCAACCTAGCCTGGCTAGGCACCCTCCCAAAGCAATTCGCGATGCCTTTGCGAAATGCCTCCTCACCCCCCTCCTTGCCCTCGCCTCCAACCCTGACTCCGAACCTGCCTGGCGACTGCTGCTGTTCCTCCCGCGCCTAATCCTCCGTGTTTCCAACACCAAACGCCCAGATTGGCCAGCCTGCAGCAGCCGTATCCTCTCATTTGACCGCGGGAATTGGCAGGAATTATATGAGGAAGCGGCCAAGGCTATTCAGCTCCCAGCCCAACCCAGACACACTACCGACGAGATTGGTTGCCTGGCCAGAGCTGAAGGCCTGGCCAAACGTGGGAATTT